CCCCCCCGCTGTGCTTCGGATGTAAAATCTGCTTGAGTGCAACAATGACATCCATCTCCTTCCTATCAAGACTACCATTCGCAGTACGTTGAAGAGAAGGGCTCAGGTAGGTCTTCAAACTAGGGTCCTTTCAGGTCGTGACGTATAGTTTTTGGTGGATCCAACGTAGGGCCTCACGCCAAACAATAGTTTTGCAATCGTAACCCTTAACCTCACTGCCGAACTGTTCCAAGTATTCTGGCCTCTCTATTGCAATGTATAAAAGGAGAGTTTCAAAGCTTCAATTCCCCTGAACCCCAACCATAAATTGCATAAATCCTAATGTCGAAGGTAAAAGGAGAGTTTCAACTCTTCAATTCCAACCCTGAAACCCTAAGCACTAAACCCCAAACCCTAAACCCTAAACCCTACACCCGAAACCCTAAACCCCAACCAGAAATCCTAAGCCCTTTCGGCAAGACCCGCGGCTTCGCCTAAAGGCCGAGGTCCACTCCGAACCGAAAGCCCTAAACCCTCCAAAACCCTGTACCTCTAGAGACTATGGAAGCCCCTAAACCCCAACTCTAGCCCAACGATTTAGGGTTTAGGGTTTAGGGTTTAAGGTTTAGGGTTCAGGTTTAAGGTTAGGGTTTAGGGTTTGAGGTTTAGGGCTTAAGGTTTAGATGGGTTTAGGCTCTAGGCCTTGCCCCAACAAGGCCTGGACGGGTCATATCTTCGCAGAGGTAGCGCACGTTGGCGATCCCAGCCTGTATGTCTTGCTTACAGAAGGATTATGGTACCCCAAGAAGGTTTGGGAGTTTAGGTTTAAGGATTATAATAGTTCTTATAGGGCTTGGGACTTTATGGAATTAGGAATGTTTCAAGCAATTCCGCTTCCTGTGGTTACGCTTGTTGATCTTCTTGTGGTTGGAATGACTACGGGAAGCTGGCGAATCACTCTCCGAATCTGCCCTCCGACCCTCATCGTCTATGGCAGCTAGTATAGCAGCCTATGAACTAGAATATTAAAAAAACGGTGAGAGCAACAGTAAAAAAAATATGACTGATAAATAAACTAAAAAACTCATGATTCAAAGAACAAAAGGAATAAGAACAACAGCAATAACAATAGCAATAACAATAACAGTTCTAAACATGAGAAGGAACAAAACATGCGACAAATGAAACAATAGTTTCATAATAGTAATATTAGCAATCTTCAGCATAAGGCTTTGGGGTGTCTTAGATTTTCTTCAGGACTTTACAAAGGTGCGCAACACTCCACATCGGCCTCGTGGAAATGGGGAAGATGCTGAGGAGGGCGGATGTCCACAGCTGTCACCTCAAATCAGGCGGACGTAATGTAGGGGCCATGCTGTATTCGGCCCTTTTTTATAGTATATACTTATAGCAAGAAGCGCTGAGGAATAGTATTGGTAGTTATCTAAGAATCTAAGCCTCTAGACTACGACGCGTGCTGCTGTTCCTGATTTGCAATGGCTGAGCGAGGCGGATTGCAGCACAGATGTCGTGGTTGGTCCCAGTCATGCCATTTCCCCCTAAACCCCTCTACCCTAAACCCTATAAACCCATCGCATGCCCAAGGAGCAGTGCTCTTTGGCGCCGACAGCGCCAGGAAGGTGGCGGTCATGGCGCTTCCGCAGCAGAGGTCCACGAAGTGCAGAGCCTGCAAAGAGCTGAAAAATCCCGAGGCTCGGTTCGACTCCCAAAGAGCCCAATACACGTTAATTACGGAATATACCCTTCAATTATAGGGGCCTTAATTTTATGATTTAAGTGCCCAATACACCTTGGTTAAGGAATGTATCCGTTTTAGAAAACAGGGGCCTTAACATCATTATGATTGAAGGTATATATTCCTTAATTTAGGGGTGGTCAGCCCGGGCGACATGTGAGGACTTGAGCTGGTCAAAACCCCCTTGAGCGTGGCTTACAGCAAGGGAGCCGTATGCTTCTAGCGCGGTGGCAGGCTGCTAGACCACAAGTCGTCGGAGATCACGAAGCTAATCGGAGCTACTGCCCTCCACCCTGAACACCCTAAACCCTAAGCCCAATACCCCTTAACTAAGGAATATACCTTAAATTATCGGGGCCTTACTATTATGATTTAAGGTATATTCCTTAATTAATGGGTATTGGGTTCTCTGGGCAGCCGTAGAGTTTTTGCGGCCTCTTCGTCCCATCGCCGCAGTTTTCTCAGTGAGTCCAAGATCGCCATAGACTCAGAGACCTCCTTGGGGTCCAGGTCTGAGGTCTTCCCGGGCTTGGGGTTGGAGTGCGTTTGGTAGCCGAGTCGCTTCGGCTTGGGGTTCTTGTGTCTTAGGGGTTTAGGGCTGTTTTTAGAGTTTATGGAGTTTAGGAGTGCAGTTGGTACATGATGGTGTTACCGCAAGATCTTACGATATGAAAGTGGTTGGGGTGACTCGTAGGGATTACTGTAGGGAGTTTAGGGTTTTGGAAACGCAAACAAACGCTCCCGGCCGGACTAACTTCACATTGTAGAGGGCCACCCAAGCAATCCTAGATCCAACTACACGAAACTCCAAATAAGCCTAAACCCTGAACCCCGAAACCAAAACCCCTAAACCCTAAACTCCCAAGCCTAAACCCTAAACCCCAAAACAACAGTAAGAACTCCAACGCCAACAGAACAACAGCAGTACTGCAGTACGATGGCTCAACAACACGAAGGATAGACGAGAACAAAAACAAAAAGACTTGCAGCAGAAGCTAAAAACCCAAGACCCCAACACCCTAAAACCCTAAAGCCCTAAGCCGTCAAAGCCTCACCCGACAACCCCCGCAGCCCTCAACCCCTAAACCCTGGTAGATACCTTACAGCAACCCTCATAAACCCTTTAAAAGGAACCCCTAGTGAGCCCAGAAAAGAACCCCTATAGAGCCCTTACAGGAACCCTTTTGTGGATCCCTTATAGCTCCCTTAGTGGAACCCTTATAGATCCCTAAACGGAACCCTCATAGATCCCTGCAAGGAACCCGGTATAGCTCCCTTGAAAGGAACCCTTGCAGAAACTCTAAGCCACGCTTCCGGCCTGGCGGAAGTTGTGGCAGTTCGCCGCTCGATGCAGGGCAGTCTGTGAGCGACAGGGCCACAAGGAAAGGGTGTAGGGTTCCTTTAAGGAGTCCTTTAAAGGACCTTTAAAAGGTTCCTTTAAAATTTCAGGAACCTATCAGGGTTTACTATAGGGTCTTAGGGGTTAGGTTAAGGTTTGGGGTTTTAAGGTGTTGGAATCTTCTGGTTTAGGGGTTACGCTCCTTAAGGGTTGCTCTACGGTTTGCTGTCAGGGCTCCTACAAGGGCGATTATGAGGGCTACTATATAAGCGATGAAACAGCTGCTACAGGGGCGACTTTTAGGTTGATGATAACCCTAAACCCTAAACCATAAACCCTAAACAAAGGTGTTCTGTTCGGGCTTGGTTCCTTAAGGCTTCCTTTCAGCTGGGTTCTATAAGAGCTCTCAGTGGGGGTAAAGTTGAAGGGGAAAAACAACAACTGGCTTAGGCTGCTTTGGCTTTACGGTGGTTAAGGCTGAAAGGCTGCAAATGGGGTGTTTGGTGTTTAAGGTGTATCCTTTGTTCAATGGACGCGTTTCCGGTTTCCAAGGCATGCCAAACTGCATCCACTTCAGCATTGCAACTGCATCAAATCACTCGCAGTGGAGGCCCAGCTTAGGCCTAGCCTGCGTGAAGGCCGCTGATGCCGGCTGATCCTTGTCAGTGCCGCAGTGGCACTTGCACGAAACTTCTGCTAACAACATGCGAGACGCTCCAGTTGACGTGCTACAGATACTTTCATCCGACATGTCTCAACGAGCCGTTCCTTGAACATGAACCCACTCTGGAAATGGCAGCAGATCCATGCAGCTCGTAGTGGCAGTGGTTGTAGTATTGTATGGCAGTACTACAGCTGTGATTGCTACTGGTGCTAGCCTCCACCCCACTCCTTTGCGTACTTGCGCGCGACATTTGATCAACACTAGCCACGAATTGCCACGAATCACGACATTCTACCGTACACGTGACCCTCAGAACTGTTGTTGTCAATCCGACAGGGTGTCATGCAGGGGACCTCTCTTGACAGAAATCCCTCATTGCGGCAATTGTTCATTGTCGCTGTCTAATTTCTACAGGTTCGATGAGACAATGACCCATTGAAGGGGCCGGGAATGCGCAGAGCCAACCAAGAACATACTGTGTTTGTTCGCTTGACACAACTAGAGGCGAAAACATAGTTGAGCAGAGTGTCAAATTTCTAGCTGTTGCAGACCGCGGAATGATGGCTAGCGAAGGACCGTGCGGCTTCTGCTTGGAGACGCCAGGTGCGGGTTGTGACGTTGAACGCATGATGTGTTTTGACTGTTCCTGGGCCCCAAAAGTGTGTAGAATAATAGCCTTTTGTAAGGGTGGGGCCATTATTTTATCTACTTTTGGGGGCTTAGGCTGAGGGCAGCATCTCTACTGCATAGTTCATGAGTGCTCTGGCCTAAGGGATTGAGCCTTTAGTTTGAATCAGGGAAACTACGCTGGCTCTAGGATGCGGACACTATTCTTGGATAAGATCCTCTGAGGCCCAATATTCAGGGAAAGTATGAAGTACCCCGAGTGGCCCAACTAGAAACTTGGGTGGACATGGATAAGTCCCCCGGGGAACGCGCTCTACGGTGTCAACGGCTTTATCTTCCGGGCAGATGCCTTCCCACGACAAGGTTGGTGGGACTCGACAATTGGATGTGCACGTGCCAGAGGGTCTCAGGGTAGGCTTTCGTCGGGACCATGAGGGCAAACCGTCTCTAACTACATATTCCGACCCTATATGAGGTTGCATGATGGATCTCACAACATGAAACGGCTTACTACGTTGTAGACCCCTTTGCAAGAATGCGTGGGCGCAGCCTGCCTTCGACTTGGAGGCACTTTTGATTTGGTTTGTATAGGGTGTTCAGGGTTTAGGGTTTATTCAAGTGCGGTAAGCTTGATGGTTGCTTTTTTCTTGCGGGCCTGGGGGTACTTTTGAGGGTCGCTGAGGACACCGTAAGAAGACTCTCTTCTAAGCATCCTGAGTAATTAAAAACTAACCTGATTTGCCAAGTCTAACAGGGTGTAGGGGTGCACATTGAGCCAACACACACGACGCACAAAGCCTTGCCTCCCTACTATAACTACCATTTCTGAATGATCACTTCCATTACTCTACATCTACTACTATTACTGATGAACGATCCTTTTTATCTCCCATTGATGACAGATCCCTTCGATCACCTGCTAGTCAGACATGTATATGAGAGGAACGGCAGAGATCTGCAGTTGCTCGTCCTCTTTTCAGGCAACCTCAGACTCATGAATACAGGGGCCTGAAGATTGATTTTATTACCACTCCTAGTTTGGGGTTCTTTGTTAGACCCCACCCCGAAACCCTATTTCTACTCATTCAGGCCCCTATACCAAGCCACCATAGTAGCAGCCCTTATAGTAGTCCTTGAAGTCTTGAAGGGACCGTTAAGGGACCCCTATTCAGATTATAAAGGCCCCTGAATTCGACATTAAACCCCCTAAGCTCCTAGAAGCGCAGAGGAAATGAGCTCAAAGGGTTTAGGGTTGAAGGTGAAAGGTTTTGTGCACCATGGCACTTAGCACCCCTACTAAAACTTAACTTTTCTGTGCCCGTAGAGGGAATTCGGTAGTTCTCTAAATTAGGATTCTTCTTAGGGTCTTTATGAGGGTGCCTGTCTTGTTTGGGGACCTAAGAAGGGACCCCAATTTAGAGAACTACCCATTGAAATGAAACCCCCCAACACAGTTGAGGGTCTCTGGGCCAAGCCAAGTGCCAACGACCCTAAACCATAAACCCGAAGCCCTAAACCCTAAACTGTCGTCTGTGATGGTTCTGTAAAGGGTCCACGAAGTTCCTAGTAGGGGTTTAGGGTGTGCCTTGACCCCTGAAAAACCAAGACTTAATATAGGGGCCTTATTACCTACATCATGTTGAGTGGGTCCGTATTATAAGTATAGCAAAATATACCCCAAAACCCTGTTCTAATTATGAAGGCCTCCATGTTACATAAGCACATCTTCAAAACAGTTAGGCTGTCCGGGCGCTAAGGGTTTAGGGTGTGATGGCTCTAACAGTCCACGAGATCGGAACCCGGTAACCCTCCTACACCCTAAAATGGGAGGGGGGGGGGTGGCGGGGGGTTATGGTAATCATCGCATTGGTGGCCAAAAAAAAATAAGGGTACTATAGGGTTTATAGTAGTTTATAGGGTGGCAGAACAGGTTTGTAGGGCCTTTCTGACCATGCAACGAAAAAACTGCAGCCGATTGCTGATTGCTATAAGGCCTGAAAACATTAGAACATAGGGGCTTTGGGGTTGATTCTGCCTTAGATAACAACAGGAACCCTAGTAATATTACCATTCGTCGCAATGCAGGGGCCTTAATTCTTCCAATGGGTTTGGGGGGGGGGGACATTCTAATAAGTTAAAGGGGCTAGGAGGGAATATCAAGACATGTGTGCTTATTCACACCACTGTGTACGTAACCCTAAACCCTAACCCCTAAACCCTAAACCCCAAACCCTAAACCCTAAACCCTTAACCCTTGGAAGCCCTTTATTGTCCGCTGACTTTAGTCCCGGGCGAAGAAGTCTCGCACCAAGGGGTTCGGCTCATCGCCCTTCTCGACACGTTCACCTCAGCAGTTTGGAGGTCGTTTTTGGGGTTTTGGGTACAGGCCGAAGTTTAGGGTTTAGGGTTTATGGTATGTAGGGTGTAGGATTTCGTGCTTGGGCTCAGGGTTTGCAGCAAATCATGGCCATGAGCTGCCCATCCAGGTAGTGCACATAGCTTCATGTTCTCACAGACGACTCCAATGCCCCGGACTGCACTCTTCCACATCTTCCACATGTTTCGGGTCAATAGGATCAACTCATGCTGGAAATGCAGGAACCTCTCCCAACAAGATGGCAACAATGTCGACGAACACTGCAGGCATCATCATTTGCACAACCCGCAATCCTGACCCTCATTCCCGGAAACCCCACAGCCCAAAGCCTTAAAGGCTAAACCGCATATCGTAGCACTCCTAAGTACCTACACGGGGGATACTTCGCCCAAACCCAAATAAATTGCAATTCCTACTACAGAAACCCTACTAACCCTAAACCCTAAACCCTAAACCCTAAACCCAAATGGTAATTCCTACTACAGAAACCCTACTTGGTAGTATCTCAGACCCCAAAACTGAAGCCCTAAATATTGGCACTTAGGACCCTGTTGGGCAGCTTAGGCCCTGAACCCTGAACCCCTAAACCCCTACTTGGATGGGTTGGCGGGTTACTA